GGCGTGCATAGGACCAAGAAGGAGGCCTGGATCAGGGCCAAGTACATCGACCGCGTGTTCGCGCGTCCCGACCACGCCGCCGCCGCCGCCTCCTCGGTGCTCCCGGACGACACGCCCTCCCCAGCCGCCAGTCCTCGGTATCGTGTCCCCGCCCGCCCGCCCATCCATCCGTCATCGGCGTCGCAATTCGCACTGCAGCAGCGGGTGTCATTAGAGGCGGAGGGGGGACAGCTGATCGGCGGCGGCTGGCTGGCTGTATCTGTAATTCGGCGGCGGCGGCGGCGGCGGCGAGGTGCGTGCAGGCAGGGCAAGGAAGGGTGGCTCACCAAGCAGGGCAGCAATCGGTCGTGGAAGAAGCGGTGGTTCGTGCTGCGCGAGGACGGCCTCCACTACTACAAGTACTTACGCCGCGCCGCCCCCTCCCTCCCGCGCGCCGTGCATTGTTGTATTGCGTGGTCCATTGTCCGTTGGTTTGACCGGCACCACGGTGCCGATGACGCGTCTGACGATGACGATGGCCTGCTGGTCTGTCGGTGACTGACTGCTGACTCGGCAGATCGCAGAGCGACGAGACGGCGGCGGGGGTCCTCAGCCTGTCCAGCGCTGCTGTGCGCCCCACTGTGGCCGCCCGCCAACCAGACTACGCCTTCGAAATCCTCACCAAGAACCGGTACCCCTGCCTGTGATATGGCCCCGCCTCCGCCTCCGCCTCCTCCTCGTGATAGTGAATGAATGAATGATGGTGAATGATGAATGATGGCTGCGTCATGCCATAGAATTCTGATTATTGTGAGTACCGCCCGGCATTGGCTGGATCTGTATGTCTGGGTGTGGGTGGTGTGCCAGGGCGTACCTCCTGCACGCCGACTCAGAGGAGGACGTGGAAGAGTGGGTGGCCCTCCTCGCACGCGCCGCGAATCGTTCCTACCACGCGAGCCCCGTCTTCGCCTCGGCCACTGCTGCTGCTACGGCCCACCACCACCACCACCACCAGGAGGAGGAGGAGGCTCCTACTCCAGCGTTGTCGGGAGGGACCTCTCGCGGACTCATCGGGCACGAGGAGTAGTACGCGCCCAGCCAACGGAGTAGCCGGCGTATTTTGTGTGGGCGGACCCACTCTCGCCCAACCACTGTACAACTCAACTGAACCAAGAAGATAATCGAGAGGTGAAAAGAGCATCCGAGAAACGAAAAGAAAAGAAAATCGCAGGTGGGAAAGAAGGTCACTTCTCGCAAGAGAGCGGTGCGGTAGAACGTTGTGCGGAGGGCGAGGTGGTCATGCTGCGTCTCTACAAGTCTCTGAGCATCCAAAATGATGTGTTCAGCAAGATACCGCGCGATCAGCTTCGCATGCCAATTGGGGCCACCGGGGCAGATGCAGCATCTGGGGGCTCGCCTGGAGGCGAGGACGAAGCCCCGCGCTATCTCGACATGAAGGCCTCCCGCCTCGCACTCGTAGGTCAAGAGGACGACGGTATCCTCCTCTTCGCTCACGACGGCTACGCCAAGGTCCCCCCCCCCGGCACAAGCAGCCTCATTGGAAACAAATCATTGCCAAGTTTCGCCTGCCGCCCCAAAACTTACGGTTCTGCTGCCGCCTCTTCAGGACGCGGCCGGGAAGGCGAGCAAGCGCACGTTTATCAACATGTACGACATGAAGACGAGGGAGCTCACCACCCTCTTCATGCACGACTACGTCATCGACGTCGTCTCGTGCTCCGTAAACGAAGAGCGCACTCTCCTGGGTACGTACAGGGCGACCTTGGCGTGTTCGCGCGCGTGAGGCTTGCGCGCGGAACAGCTACGCGCAGGTCCACGGTGGGCAGTGTCTTACACCGCACGCACGCACGTGGTGGTGGTGGTGGGGCGCACCAGTGTTCACGACGCTATCGCGCTATCGGAAGCCGGTGCCCAACGTCACGGAGACACAAGACTTTGAAGGTGGACCCCGTCCCTTGCCTGCCCAAGTCCGTGGCGAGCCTTTACTCACTCGCTCGTCGCGCTGTCGTTGGGATCTCCGACGTTGGACGTGTTCGTGTTTGCTGCACCGCAGAGCTGTACGAATCCCGCCTCGTGGAGGTCCTGTCGCAGCGGAGCATGCCCATCGACAAGCTCAGCAAGTCCAGGCAGAGCGTCTACGTACGTGTCACGTCCCTCCCCTCCTCCCCTCCATCCAGCACGGCTGGCCTCGCTTGTTTTGAGGGAACGCCGAGGGGTTGGCCTGCACAGCGCGTATCCCTCACCTCCACATGGCGGGGATCCGCACACTCGCACAGTTCTTGGGCAGCGACGCCAAACAGAAGGGCTGGACCCGCAGGCGCGTGTTTCTGCTGTTCGTCATGCACACCCACTTTGCCCAGGTCCTCCACATACAGACCACCCGACGCGGTCCGACCGACGAGGTGCCGCCCCGCCCCTCCCCTCCTTGCCTCGTGGTGGTGGTGGTGGTGGTGTGTTGCTCCGGCTCACCTCGCCTACCACTGTCCCCTTGGTGGCCACACGTGTTGTGTTGTGTTGTGCAACCCCGCAGCGCGTGCTCAAGTTTGCGGAGCTGTTTGCCAAGCTCGTCCAGAAATCGCAGCTGGCGTGGCACCAGTACAACGCCAAGGAGAAGGTCCTCTACTGCCTCGTCGCCCAAAACAACAAGGTTGGTTCGCTGCACACCCTTCCCCCCCACCACACGCTACCACCGGCTCCCACAATTCACCCCCCTCCCCGACCAACCAACGAACAAACAGGGCACCTACGATAAGAACCAGGACTACACGCTGCGCTGCTACAAGCTTTCAGGTGACCGGCGAAACGACGTCATGTTCGAGGTAAAGGCCCACGTTGCACCTCTTCTTCTTCTTCTTTTTCTCCTTCTCCCCTTGCGCACTCTGTCGCCCTCCTCCCATGATCGATGCGTTTTTGGCGGTTCCTTTTTTTTTTGCGTACGTGCGTGGCCATTGAATGACCCGCCTCTCCCCTGTTGTCCAGGTTGGCCCACTTCAGCTGGCACACGAGCCGCCCGAGATGTCGACCAATCCGCGCATGTCCATGCAACTCCCCGGCGAGGCCCGTGCAGGTGCCCAGCCCTTCCTCCTCCTCCCCATCGTCATCCGGGTCGACATCTCCGGCTTCTCTCTCCTCTCTCCCTCTCCTCTCTCCTCCTCTCTCCTCTCTCTCTCTCCCCCCCTCTCTTCTCTTGGTCGTTTGTGCAAGCGTCGTGCTCCCTTTAATCTCTCTCTCTCTCTCCCCCCCCGCCTCTTACGCCCACTGCAGGCCACAGGCGTAGTGCCTCGCAGTCCTTTGATGCCCGTTCGGCCGCCTCTGCGCTGTCGGTGAAATGGACGGACAACCTGCAGATCGTTGAAATGAGTGGGGTGCGTGCCGTTTCCCCCTCCCCCACGTGTGCACGCATTGCCCCCACGCTCACATGTGATATGTTTCTCTATGTATATGTATATGTATATGTACATACACGTATATATTTATCTATATGTACGATGATGTTCGACAGAATGCGGTGTGCCTGTGCCAGCAGCATCCCGTCGAGCCCAACGCATTTTCGCCCTCCATCAACGTCTCCATATTCGTGCTCCACCACAAGATGAAGCTGGACTTCTCCATTCCCATGAACGGCCCCAACGATGCCGCCTTCATCACCAGGTGTGTACATGCTCGCAATTCATCATCATCATCATCGTCATCACTCTCCTTCACCCACCGCCCGCATCCATCTGGTCCTCATTGTTCTCTTTGCTACCACTCGGTGATGGGTACAGCGCGCGAGTGTTCTTCGACTGCATCGGAGACCTCTTGCTGGTGTACGTGCCCGGCCGCTACATCCAGCTCATCGACTGCGGGGACGAGCACGACCCGTGCCCCAACCTCTTCTTCACCGGCAGCCGGTTCGCCACCCTCCTCCCCGAACAAGCCGTCGAGGACTTCCCGCCCTTTGTCATGGCACGTGCCCCCCCCCCGCCCGCCCCCGCCTCATCTCGTTTCTTCCATTGATGACGATGGTGGTGGCTGGCGGTCGTGATCGTGGCGTGCTCCTATCGCTAACGGTCACCCCCCCCCCAATGCAGCCCTTCGACACCATGATGTCGACGGCTTCCGACTATCGGCGCTATGGCATGCTCGACGTGCTCAAAGGTGCACTACCTCTCCCCCACCCACCCTCCGCTCCTCCTCTCCTTCATTCACGGCACCGCGGTGGCTTTTTGGGTCTCCATTTTGGCGGCGTGTGTCGGCCCTGATCGTCCTTCGGCCCCGCTAACCGCCCAACGTACCACCACCACCACCACCACGACTACCACCACCTTGCAGGGGTGCTGTACGAGTACACGTTCAATCGGGAGGCCGTCCTCAACGTGTTCGACCTGCCGTCGAGCGACTGGCACGTGTACGCCCTCCACTTGGCCATCGTGCACATGCACGACGTAGAACTGGTCGACAAGGTTCTCTCTCCTCCTCCTCCTCCTCCTCGATCCTGGCGTGCTGCTACGCGTACCCGCCACTAACCCACCGACAACGTTTGGGGGGGGGGTGCGTGGGTCTGCAGATCATGCGGCACATGTGCACCACGCGACCAGAAATGGTGTCCACGGTGCTCATCAAGGAATACCTCATCGGTACCGCCCCCCTCTCCTCCCCCCGGGGGGGGTAGCCCTCGTCTGCTCTATGCTACGCACCCTAGCAACGCGCCATGACCACTCCCGTACCCTTTATTTATAATTCTCATTTTATGTCGCGATCACAGGGACGCCCTACCAGTCGGTGAAGAACAAGAACATGGAGGTGCACCTGCTGAGCCTGCTTCCGGTGACCTCGCTCGAGTCGTTCACGAGCGACAACCTGTCCAAGAAGATCAAGCGCTTCATCTCCGTCTCCCGCCTCAACATCCCCGTCCTCGCCTCCAATCGCAAACTCATCCGACCCACCAACGTACGCCCCACCCCCACCCCCCCCCCAAAAAGGGGCCCGCTCCTCCTCCTCGTCGGGCCGCCTCCCTCCCTCCCAATCCTGGCCAGCACGTGTGGGGGTGGTGCCTGCATCAGCAGCTGATGGGCTTTTGGATGGGCCGTGGCGTGGCGTGTGCGCAGCGGCAACGGTTCCTGAGCGGGGGCTCGGGGCTGCTGCCTTCGGTGGAGGCCGGGAACAACACGCCCACGTTCCGCAACCTGTTCATGCGCATCCTGGGCATCGACGAGAGCCAGAACACCGGCACCGTGCCCGCCCCGCCCCCGCCCCCGCCCGACTCCAACGTCCTCACCCCCTACTCCGCCAGCGACCGGTACGAATGTGCCCACTACACTTCTTGCCACCCCCCCCCCCACCCTCCAATCCTCCTCTGCTCCCCCCCTCTCGGCTGGCTGGCTGGCTGGCGGGCGGGCGCTCACCCACGTGGGTGGGGGTGGGGTGCACCCCACAGGTGGAGGTTCATCGAGGCGCTGGCCGACTACATGTTCAACTCGTTCCCCAAGGAAAACAAAGCCAAGGCACCCATGCTCCCTCCCTCCTACCCTCCTCCTTTACCTCCCCCTCCACACCTCTTGGCCGTATCTCTTCGTCCGTCATCATCGTCGCCATCATTATCGTCGTCGTCGTCGTCGTCATCGTCGTCGTCGTCGTCATCGTCGTCGTCGTCGCTTTTTTCTGATGTCGTTGTTGTTGTGGTTGTTGTTGTTTTTCTTTTGCGCGCGTGCGCGTCCAGTGCATGGCGTGGGCCAAGGACTACCGCGGGGAGCAGATCCACCAGTCCAATCGCCTCTACGAATACATCGCCGAGTCGACCACCGGTACCCGCCTCCTCCTCTCTTCCCATTCTTGCCCAACCAGAAGAGAAGGCTGACGGCATGGCGGGGCCGGATACCCACGCCACGCCACCTGCCGGGGCCGGGGGGGGGAGGAAAAGGGTTCGTGCGGCTGCAGGTGCTGGAGAACCTGTACTACATCCTCGAGGAGCTGTCCTTCCCGCCGCCCAAGGGATTCACCTCCGAGTTTGCCACGCTGGGCCAC